ATATATATATATATATGATGATGATATATTTCAAAAGAACTGGCGTTTTTTATGTCCCCTAAAATAGGAGGGGGCACACGGAAGCTTGCTTACAATGAGATATCCCACCGCCACAACACAGATAACAAGAGATTACCTGTTCCTGCCGTTGTTATGGCGCCCTGCAGAACACCCTGGATCACACCGAGGGAATGAATAACTGCACCAGGCTCCCCGAGCGCAACACAACCAGGGCCACCTAATGTCTCAGGCTTCAGATGGGTCACTTAGGGACCTGTGTCTCTCATATTTCACACCTTTGCAATAAAAAAAAAGAAAGAAAGAAAAGTTCCCCCAGAGGTTTGACTTTGTAGCACCACATTTTGCCATTTTCACATGCAAAGCAAAGCAGGACTTGTCCTCGAATGATGGAGAGTAAGAGGACGCAAAACATCTGCCTGGGATAACAAGAGACTTCATGTCTTGCCCAGCTGACTTTAAAGTGATGAAATACACATTTGAGCAATAAATCGGCTTTATTAAAAAAGAAAACAGCATCTAGGCATGCATCCAAAAAAATGCTGTTTTCTACTTTGATTGCATTAAATCCCTCTTCCTCCGAAGCACTTCTGCTTTTAGAAAATGCCACATTAATTATGCTTTCTCACTTTCTACCTCTGTTTACTGATTAACAAGACGATCCCTCATCGTGTGCTCTGGTGTTGGCTTTTGTTGCCAAGCATTACTTCCACAGAAACCCTGACATGGTGCACCTGCCATTGTTTTTTTCTGAGTTGGTTTATGTTCAGAGCTGGTGTGTTTGCTCAAAAGATGTTTTTTGATTTATGATCTTTCACGTTCGCTGCTTACAATCTGCTCGGCAAGACCTCAGATGATAAATGAGCTCATAAAAACTGAAGCAAACATTTAGACAGTGAGAGTAAATGTTATTTGTTATGCCATTAAACCAAGCAGAAAGGGGGGGGGGGGGGTATTGTGGATACACCCCAACTATGGTGTGTATATGGTGTGGTTCTAGTTGCATAGAGGCTAAACTGTTGTACAGGCCACTGAAGAATAATGAGATGTTAGCTCGTGTTAGGTGGTAGAAGGGGAATTTGATGTTGTCTATGCGAGTCACTGAAAGTACCCGGAGTAGCCTACATGGGAAACCTTGAGGGTCTTTGTGAAACAAAGATGAAGAGAAAAAATAAGTCAGAGAGGTAGCCTGAAAGTGCAACAAAAACCATTTCTTAAAATGACAACTTCTAGCTAGCAGCAAAACGTTTAGTCCCTGTTGGCAAATGACAGACTTTCATCAGTACGGTCACTGAACTCCGTGCACGCCAACGCAACACACTTTGTAATTATATAAGATATACAAACACATCGTTACTTTGGTTCAAACGGGACAAGTCGTTAGCAGAACATTTAGTCAACAACCGCAAACTAGCTCGTAATAATCAAGAATTGAACACGTGATGTTGTGTCATGCCTGAAAAAAGATGATTCCACCTAATTAAACGTTTGCTGAGTGAATTCGCGGTGTTATCCGAGTAGAGGACGCGTTCTTACCGTGCTGTCAGCTGGTCCTCCGTGACTCCGGTGTGCCTTCTGACCGGGGGACCGCGAGCGAGCCTCGGCTGAAACAACCAAAGAGATGCGCTTCACTGTCAAGATAGTTCACTCCCACCACCGTCATCCTCCACTTCTGGAACTTTGACCGCCGCCGCAGCCGCACCCGCTACCCCGGAAATCACCTCGCGCTCGCGTCAGACGTAAAATTAAATAGAAAAACACACTGCAGATGACTGATCTCTCAGGATATCCTGTGGCTGAAGTGTGAAAAAGCTATCGAATAAATGAAATGAAAGAGCAACCTGTTTTTGAGCACATTTTGTATTAACTGTGAACCACCAAACTGGAGTTTTGCATTGTTTTAAAGCACATTTGGTGATCCATTTTGATTTCCCACCTGATATATAATAATCAAACCTATGCATCACTTTAAAGCACAGTCCCACTGGTGGAAGCTCACTCTGACAGAACACTGAAACAATAAAATATTAATAAATACATTAACTGACCTGCTTTCTGCCTGTCAAAATGTTTCAAAATTGGGCGTTTATTGAAGTAATTTTTCTTTAACTACCACAATGGGGTATTTTGAATGGTATAATTTTTCTTTTTTTTACTGCATTAGTGTACATAGGTCTACTGTATTTATCAGGCAGCTGCTGAAGGTTAATTTGTAGTCTGTATTCAAAATGTTACATCCCGTCTATGTGCATTCATCGAATATAATGTGTAGGTGCATGTAAATTAATGGATATAGACTAGCTGTGTATGGGTATGTGTGTGGGAGTGGTTTGACCTTGGAGAGCTTTTGTCTGTGTATGTGTGAGTGTACTAGTGCTGTTTTATTTCATGTACTGTATTTTCTGTATATTTGTGTTGAGGACCCAGCTGAAAAGGACATGGTTCTTCCATCTCAACAGCTTTATCCTGTTAATAAATGTCGATAAACCGTTAATGCAGACTTTAACTTTCATCCTTCATCGGGTTTATGGGTAAAAGGCAGAACTCCACCATGTAAAAAGCTTTCGGGCAGAAAGGAAGACAAATCAAATACTCTGACAGAACATAGGAGGAGATGGGTCTTAAAAAATCAATCCTGTTGGATCTTAAAATGATGAGACTACTGTGGGTAAAATATTCCATGACAGGCTGCTACATGCTATGCTAAGGCCCATTTGTCTTGGTGCTTGGTTGAAGAATTCTATGCTAACTTGCCCGTTATGGAGTTATGTACAGTAAGAAGAGGAAATAAATCAATCAAATAAAGGAAGGTTGTAGATGTTTAACCACATTTTAGGATTGCTTCTCATATAAGCCTGTTCAGCTGCCACAGTGACCTCCACAGGAAACCACAAGAAACCACAGGAAACAGCAAGGAGCCTATAATGAACAGACTAATCAGCCTGTCCATAATTTGAAGCCATATGACTGTTTAATAGGATTTAATGAATAAAAATTATTATAATTTTTACCAGCAATTATATTAGGTCTACTAAAACAAACGACCATTGTTTATATATTTGGAGGCAATCAATCAGTTTTGTTTTAGTTCCTTGGTTTGTTAGAAGTGGTGCAAAGTAACTGAACATTTACTATTAACTACTACTACCAATACAAGCACTGAGTAAGTGTATTGAACATATATATTATATACACACATGTAGCCGAGGGTTTATGTAGCGCCTATACTTTAGGATAATAATAAAATAATAAACAGGGGGCTCCGTATTCTGCGCCTAGATGGCAGCATTATTCACTTCTCACACACTTCGCCAGAAGCTCTCTCCTCTTCCACTCTTTCGGTCTCATCCTCCACAATAAAAGCACCACAAACATACACAGGAACACTGCTTCCTAGAGAGCTCTTATACGCAACATAATAGCTTACATATATACATTAATAATAAACTCCACCAAAAAAAGCTGTAGATAGGCTACACCTTCGTACTTTAACTTCAGTTTTGAATGCAGTACTTTGACTTATGATGGAGTATTTTTATATTGTGGTATTTCCACTGTTGTGGTTATAGTAGTATAATGACGGTGATCTCTCCTGGAAGCACTGCATCGGTCGTCAGACAGGCGGAGCTCTCGGTCCATCTGCTCCCACATCAGCAGCAGCAGCTCCCTCCTCGTGGGATTACAGACCGCTATTCTCAGACCCCCGGAGCCAGAGTCGAACAAATGTGGCATTATAAAAAGGACTGAAAGCAGCGACGAGGACACACACTTCAAGGGGAAAGACCGAATGAACTGCACGCACATTTGAATGTAGCTTTCTGTCCCGGAGAAACGCCACTTGCAGTAAGTAAAACAACAATACAACTTTATTTTATTTTCTTTGCGTTGGTTTTACACAGATAACGTGTTGCTTTGGGAGAAACGCGCTGTCGGAGCGTCAGCTGACATTTTAGTAACAAGTTGTTACATTATGTTTATGCATCTTTCCTCTCAGCATCTGTTCTGCATAATGCTACCAGCCTATCCTTGTTCCGATGCAATGTTCAGTAATCCAGTCTAGGTTTGGAAAGGTTTTTTTTTGGTTCTGTTTCACCGAGACCAGCTCTGTTTTTATACCCAGTTTTTCACCAGGATGAAGTGGTCGTCCTCAATGGGCTTTAGAAACACAGTTTTAATTCATGTTTTTATTTATTCATTCAAGTCATAGCCTAGAGCAGGGGTCTTCAACGTTTTTCAGGCCAAGGACCCCCAAACTGATAGAGAGATGGAGCAGGGACCCCCGACTATATATATATTGTATAAAATTGTGTTTTATATTAAATGGGCCTAGTACCGTGTATACCTCTTTATTGTGCATTCAATAGTAAGCTATTCAAATAATACACAGGTTCATATATTCATGTGTTTATTTTAAACATGTGCAAGGTACAGTGTGTAGGGTGGCCGTGCCACTGACATTTATAAACATAGCTTGTCAGTTAATACCAATGCCAATATCAACATTGTCTGTCAATTGCATGATAATCATACAAGCTATTCAAATTGATGTTTTCATTTTAAACATAAATGTGGAAACGAAAAATGAGTGATGGCCTATTAGTGCCACTGCCATGCATAAAGATACCTGTTATCTTGCATACAATACTGAACTATTAAAATAATAGACAGATTCATGTTTAGAGAAAAAAAATTTTTTTAATTGTCTAATCAACCAAACATTTTGCAGACCCCCTGCAGTACCCCCTGTTGAAGACCTCTGGCCTAGAGGATGTCATGATGTCATCTTTGAAAGCAACATGAAAGTGCTTTAGACATTGGGAGATTATAGAAGTGCTTGTAGTGGAGTCATGGGTTTCCCTGCACACACTAATTCCTCGCCCCTTTGATGTGTAGGAGGCTGCAGTAAAATACCATCATGTCCCTATTTATCTGATTTTGTTCTTTTTTTAATGACAGAATGTAGCGTGGACTTTTTACAGATAGGTTACATTTTAGGAAGCACGGACAAGTTAGTGAGGCACTATACTTTAAACTGACACAACCCAGTACATTTCTGACAAAGTGATACAAAAAAGAAAAATGTTTTTATTTGTCTAAACAGTTGCAGTCAAACAGAGAGAATACGAGTAAGATGCCCCCCTCTCCCCAGTGTGAAATTCAGTTAGTTATTCTGTGTGCATACAAGAGGCTGGATGAGGCAGCCTGGTGTGAGAAGCAAACCAAGTTGCCTTTTAAAAAAAAAAAAAAAAAACTGGCAACTAACAGACAAAGAAAATGACACCATTTTGCCTGCCTGAGGAGCAGGTGCAGACCGATAAATGTGCAGTTTTGACAGAATATTTTTGGAGGCCATGCAGCCTCTCATCAATCAGCCCTCCACTCCTGAGCGTAACTAGCAGCCTAATCCTCACTTCAGCTGGAGCTGCTGCCTGCTGAAGTGACACATCCAAGTTGCCCAGGGGCTTCAACGCCAGCTCAGGAAGGAGCTCGGAACTTATTTGGCGCCGGGGTAAATTTCACCTCATTTGACACCAGCTGGATACGCCGGAGCAGCCAAGTGCCTGGTGACACCATGACTGAAGTGGGACTTCATGTGATCCTGACCACTGTCCTGTCTGGTGGCCTGCTGATGGCCGTGTTGGCACTGGTTTGCTTCTTTTGCTGCAGGTTGGCTGGTTCGCCGCCCCTGGGCGGACCTGGCGGCTTTTAACTAGCCATCATGGAGAAAGGTAAAAGCAACTGGCTCCAGGCATGGCCTTTTTGGATTAATACTGTATCTCGAGATTATCTCCATTAATGCAATGGGTTTCTTTTGGTTCAGACCAACAGGAAGTTGCTCAAACCAGTAACTATGCCAGCTAGCAGTGAGAGTTAACTTTTGGATGTGTTGACGAGGGGATCGCTCAGAGTTTGGAATTTTAATATTTTTCAGATGGTATAGTTTATTATAGTATATAGTGTGTAGTAAGCTAGGCTACAAGAATAGAAGCTTGGTGGGACACACAATTAGTAAAATAGCGGGCGATTTAGATGTTTGCACCCATCTTTGTCAATACTAAATAAAGTAACACTCAGAAGCCTTCTGTCGGAATCGCACCGTTGAAAGATTTGTTGTGATAAAAGTATCTTGAGTTTTTTTTCTCCTTACTGCCGGACGTGTCCAGTCAATCATCCACTGTTAATCGGCTTTGTTATGGCCCTTAGACCTCTCGGTGCGATGGAGCTCAATCCCATTAAAGTGACCTTGACTATGAGCACAAGGAAGAAAGGAGGAGGGTGTGAATAATCACAAATGAAAAGCTGACTGGCCAGGACCCATAAGGGCCTCCTGTTGAGACTACTTACATTCGCAGCAAGGCCTCCAGCTTAATTTTACCAAGCTCTCCTTGTGCTTCTGCTGCAAAGCCTGATGGACCCGACACTTTTACAACACACACACACAAACATCTTCCCCCAACATGATGACACGAAAACAGACCGACCGCTGGCATTCTCCAGCCTTAATTTGCTGTTTCTTTATTTAGAAAGCCTATGAGAGAGAAGGTGAATAAGGCAATACTACTGCTAATGTCTGTTAAGTTCCCATACTCCAGTGGAGTTGCCAGTTCAATATCTACTGTATATTGGTCACATACAGAGAATTTGAATCCATACAGCGTAACTGAGAGGTGTGTTTTTTGCTGAAAATGTACTCATCATCTGAGTAAACATTTAAACTGGATTGTCAGAGTCAGTGTGTCACAAGATGACACAGACTTAATAACCAGTGTGTGTTCTTCTCTCTCCAGCTGTGAGGCGACGGCAGACAGGCATCTTCCGAGTCTCAAAGTTGCACATTTAACGCTGTCTGGAGCAACGCGTCAGCCGCACTGGGACGACAACATGAAGGTGACAGCGCTGCTCATCGTTTGCTCCTGTCTGATTTCGGGGAGTTTCGGGAAGCCGCAATTCCCTGGTAAGTTACTGTGTCGTTAGTCAGCAACAACAAGATAGCGTTCTGTCAGCTGTCTGTAACGCGCCAGGAGATGTTCGGCACACATGGGAGGGTTTCAAGGTTGTGAGGAGGAATGTTTGGATCCGTTGAAGGAAGTTTATGTATCAAAATAGATTTCCTGTTTGTGTTGTTTTTTTTAAACACCGGATATTTTTACTGCTGAGACGACGGCAAGAAAATAACAGGAATTTATTGTTTATTTATTGTTTAAGAACATTTTTCTCAAAAAAGGATCCCCCTGCTGCTCTTTAGGAGATAGTTGTGTATGTGTCATCACATTTTATAAGAAGAGATGAACAAAGTCAAATGTGTAGAACACATTGTATGTCACTCTTAGATGATTTGACTGATCTGGTGAGAATTAGAGCTGCGATGATTACACAATAAGTCGATCGACAGAAAAGTAAGTTGATAGTCAAAATATCGTTTGTCCTTTTTAAGAAAAGATACCTAAAAGTTTGCTGGTTTAAGCTTTAAATTGTGAGGATCTGATCATTCTCCTTGTCATACATGATAGTAAGCAGAATATTTGGGGTTTCTGGACTGTTAGTCCCATAAAACAAGACATACGAAGACGCAATAGAACAAAGGAAAGCTTTTGGGCTTATTTCAGGCACAAACGCCCCGAGCCCACAATGTAGTATAAATGCCTTTATTAGTTTACTGTAGGACATATCAGTTAAAAAGTCACAAGAGGAGAACCCCGACTGGCTTCGACCCACACTGGGTGCTCCTCAGGGCGAGCCTGGAAGAGTCAGCATGAGTGTCATGATTCCTTTTAAAGCCAACAAATGACCAGGAGGCTAAATTACACCAGCAACATAAATATGCCTTATGTAGGCTTGGAAAAGAAGTTTAAAGTCACAGTGATGATTACAGTCATAACAATGAAATAACTACAATAACATCAACAACAAGGGAGGGACTAAGCTTGTTTAAAATAAAAGACGATTAAGACCTGGATACACAATAGCATCAAGTTTAAAAATCCAGTATGTCCCTCTCTGAAGTAACTTATTAAGGCGGTCGCCACCTCTGATGGACTGCACTACAAACTTTCCACTTTAAAGATGAACAATTATGTAAATGGCGTGCCATTTGGTAATCTGCTTTGTTGGTTGTCATGAAGCCCTCACCTTGGGCTGGAGGAAATTATAACTTTTTTTCATCCTCTGACTTTCTATCCGAAGCTAACCAGACTTGTGTCTTTCTAATACACAGAACAAGAGAAGGATCCCAAGTTTTGGAATACGTGGGCCCAGCGGACTCTGAAGAGCGCTCTGACGCTGCAAAATCTCAACATAAACAAAGCGAAGAATCTCATCCTCTTCCTCGGAGATGGTAAGCCACAAAATCTGTATGTTTACGTCCTAATTAATGGAAAATTTCTCCAGAGGGGTAAATCCACTTCTTTACGCAGAAGGATTTGAATTGCAGTAAGATCATTAGGAAAGACACAATTTTCCCGTTTGTTGTTTATAATGGATAATATTAATTATGGAGTTTTATTGAAGCTGAAATGATGATACAGAGGATCTCGTAATCCATCAGCAAATGAAAGAGATTTTTCAAATTTCTTCTAACACGCAGGGTGAATGAATAGCAGCAAACAAACCAGATCACTGGGCTTCTCTTTGTGCTGGGCCGCTCATTGGTCACACAAAAACTTTTTATCCTCCATCTGGTCTCTGCTCTCTCTCTCTCTCTCTCTCTCTCTCTCTCTGTTCAGACTATAGGCACAACATGACATTCTTGCACACTGCTGCACGCCCGGTCGTGTCACATCCGAGTGGAGTGGTGGGGTTGTGACAGAGTAGTTACAAAATAACAGGCACCATCTTACAACGTAAAAAAGAAAAATGCAGGGAGTGATTGTATAACTGAAAAAAGTTTCCCAGACATTGTCTGCCTTTAGCCAGGAAAACCACAGGATTCACAGGAATTGTGACTCAAATGCACAAACTGTGTCCTTTGTGTACCTCTGAGCCTCAGGCTTTTGTGGAACGGACCCGACTTAACTTTATTTTCAGTGATCACACTAGACACGGGGCCAATGGCAGCACAATTTGTTTTTCAGCTTATATACAATACAAGAAAGGTGTGGCTTATCACAAGACGAGATCAGGACTTACCAATGAGCATTTTAAACTGTTTCTTATATTTTCCTGTGATTATCTTTAATTTCAGGAAACAAAAGAAATCCTTGAATGTTAACATCCTGCATGTTACAGATTAACTACAGATGTTCCTTTCTTTATGTTCTTTCTTTCATCTGTTTTGTTGATCTCTGTTTTTGTTTTTGAAGTAATTTGTATCCAAGAAACTGTTTTTGTCTAACAGCAGCCGCCTTGTTCTAGAATGTCAAAGAAAGCAACAATCTTTCATGTGTTGCGTACTGAGCACATTGGTGGATGAAAAGTCTTTCTCATGTGCAGGTGCTCTGTTTCCCGCCCTGAGGGAAAACTAATGCAATCCTAATGGTGGACCTGCTTTTGGTATTTTAGGGATGGGCGTTCCCACGGTGACAGCTGCTCGAATACTGAAGGGTCAGCTGAACGGACAGAGTGGAGAAGAGACGCAGCTGGAGATGGACAAGTTCCCCTTTGTGTCTTTGGCCAAGGTCTGCCTTGGTTAATATTATATATGTACAACATGGCCCAATGTATTGATCGTGCTGTGGCCATTAATGGCCTGTGACCGTAAACAAGGTCATCCAGTGTGTCACGTCACACTGGTCTGTGTATTATGTTATAGATTTGATAAAAGGACGATTAGACTAAATTGATTATTTACACCTCAGGAATCACTAGCAAATTCTGGTTTTTACTCTGGTGAAGGTCTTTATTTCTCTTCTTTATTCGCATGAAAAGACAAAAAGCAACAATTAACTGGTCCGACTAACAAGTGTTGTCTGTGCAGCCAAAGCCAGAAATAATTTATAGACCTCCATTGTTGTCCAAAAACTATTCAAAACACACACATGCACCTAATGCCAGCTCTAGCATGAAGTGGAAATATAAAAATATGTGTCCTTAATACTATTTACTACTTCTATTTTAATTAGTTGATTAAAAAGGCAGCATCCAGTTAGTCCCATCGGGTTACAAATACAAGTGAAGAAAACGGCCTCCTCTGTCAATAATCTGGGATAGCCAACCAGGCCTCTGACATGAACTGAGAGAACCTCCAGGAATAATAAGCGTCACAAGCCAAATCTATTTGGATAATCCACAGGAAAACAGGGTTTGGGGATTTGCTTAAGTTGGACACAATACAAATGATCTCAATGTATGAACAATGTGTGGGAGAATCATAGAAGAAAGATTTGAATAGGCCTAACTAATGAGGGTACCTGCTGTGCGTAACATGATGCGCTGTGCATCTAACGCTGTTCCTGCTGATATTCAACCGAAAGAGAACTTAACACATTCTACGAACAGCTGCAACATTGAGTTGTAATAAAAACAAATTAAAAAAAGTAAACAAAAGCTCTGCTCAAAAGCCCATACTGGCACACTATTTATACTAAATGTGACATAAAACATGCTTCTTTTATATGCACAGAAGGACACACTGTTGGTTTTGATCGTTTATTGGGATTTGTGGGAATGAGAATAATGAGATTTATCCTTTGACTCAGCATTTAAACATTCTGCCATTGTAGGAATTGCACTTAATGTCATGTCCCAACACATGACAACACACACACACCATCACAAGCACTTCAGAAAGACTGTTAACGATCCTGTTTGATATTTGAATTCTGACAATTGTCAATGGCGTTTAACTCCGCAGACATACAACACTAACGCTCAGGTGCCAGACAGCGCCGGCACCGCCACAGCTTACCTCTGCGGGGTCAAGGCCAACGAGGGCACGGTGGGCATGAGTGCAGCTGCTGTCCGATCCCAATGTAACACCACACAGGGCAACGAGGTCACCTCCATCCTCAGATGGGCTAAGGAAGCAGGTAGAGTGAGATTAAATAACACCTAACACAGACCGTTTCTCTGTCTACAGATTTTCTTGTGGGACTATGCAATAAAGTTACAATGTAAAATGCATATTTTTTGTTGGTATTTGGCGATATAATTTCTCTGAGTATGAAAATTTCTGAGATGTTTTTCATGCGATTTATAATTGCTTTTACGTGGACAAAGGATAGGTTTGAACTATTTTAATACAGTGTTCACATGCCCATAAGTCCATTTAAATAGTTATGGTTGCTACACCATGCTGGCTGTGGAGCGATCCTTTTGCTCAAGGAAGCACAAAAAGGGAATTCATGTAGATCTGAACATGTTCTTTGACAAATAAAACTCCTCAGCCCTCATTCAGACAGCTGCCTGTGTGTGCATGTGTGTGTATCCACTTCAGGCAAGTCAGTGGGAATAGTGACGACGACCCGAGTCAACCATGCGACTCCCAGTGCTGCGTACGCCCACTGCGTGGACAGAGACTGGTACTCCGACAGTGACTTGCCAGCTGAAGCACTGAAGAACGGCTGCAAAGATATCGCCAGACAACTCTTTGAAAACATTCCCAACATTGATGTGAGTCAAAAGTATTATTCAATTTCTAATACACAACTTATTATCAAGTGTCACTAGACAAAAAACCCTCAGAGTTTCAAGTGATGGCTTTTATTTATTTAAATGGCACTTTCTTATGTTTAGTCCCCTGAAAGAGTACCAACATTGGAATAATCAAATAGTGTAACCAGTTTACGAGTTAAACATTATATAAAAATTAAAAAAAGTTTATGCTCCAGCAACCTCAGACAAACTTAGATTTAATTATATGTTAATCCTAAAAGCCTTATCTCTAATTGAAATGTACTGTTTGACAATATGATAAATAAAGCATTAATCTAACCACATGTATCCTAGTAAACAAGCATTTCTACTTATCATAGTTCAAATACTAGGACTGACTTTAGCTTCAGTCTTTAGCATGATATCATGTATTTATTTAGCGATAAAGTGCATATTTAAGACCCCTTTACAGGGTTCTTGTTTGAAAAGAATCTGCTTGAAACATTCATTCCGAAAAACCTTGTTTTCAAACTTGCATAATCAATTAGAATAATTAGCTAGCTACAGCTAATAAGAAAAGATTGCAACTTCTTATTCTGTTCTTGCGACTTTCCAGGTGATTCTGGGTGGTGGGAGGAAGTATATGTTCCCCAAAAACCAATCGGATGTAGAGTACCCCGGCGTTGCGAAGCACAGTGGCACACGAAAAGACGGAAGAAACCTGGTGCAGGAGTGGATTGACAAAATGAAGGACAAAGTACATTTCTCCTCTTTTCCTCTCTTTGCTCCTCCTTGTTTCTCGGCTAAATTTCCATATTTAGGAGTTCAATGTGTCTGCAGTACTGCCACTCACATTGTTGCTGTGCTGTACATTTGTGTCTTTGTGCAGAAAGGTCATTATGTATGGAACAAGAAGCAACTCTTATCACTGAACCCTAATAGCGTGGATTACTTATTGGGTGAGTTTCCAGTTTCAGTAATTATGAAACTCTCATTGAAGTGTAAATGAAGAGCCATATGTGGATGCATTTGCTGTAGGCTTATTTTCTGCGTTTCATATCCTATTTCTCCCTGAAACCGTGCCTTCTGTTATTCCAGGTCTCTTTGAACCTGCCGATTTGCTGTACGACTTGGAGAGGAACAGTGATACTGATCCCTCGCTGACAGAGATGGTGGATGTGGCCATCAAGGTCCTGAGGAAGAACCCCAATGGATTTTACCTGCTTGTCGAAGGTAAATTTGTGGTGAAATTGGAAGACTTATCTCCTGACTAAGTCAAATCTTAGTTTCTGTTGGTGACATTACAGATTTCTATAGTAAATATCCCTCAAGGCCTTCTAATACAGTTGCAACCCAACATTATTTTTAGGATTATTAAAGAAATAGTCAAACACTTTGGGAAAAATACACTTGTTTGCTTTCTTTCTGAAACTGTGATGAAAAGAAGGAGATCAAGCTCATGTTTGTTGGTGATGAGAGTATGAGGAATCTTTACAGGTGTTAGAGGGTGTTTTTTTTCACTTTCACTGTTGTTCCACAAAAATAAAATAATTGAATCAATGACATCTGCTGACTTACATAAAAGAGGAAAACATGACTTAATTTGCGGTTTGCCAGCAATGCTGTGGAGCATGAAAAAGAGAAACAAGGAAAAGCTGTTTTAAGAGACATCACAAAGCCCTAAGAAACAGGGGTTGTCTCCCATTTGTTCACTTATCTCAGATGAGATTTGCCCTGAGATGTTTAAGGCTCTGGACATTGTAGGGCTGTCTTGGCTGACAATCCTCTTCAGTGTCTGGTGGAGTTCGGGGACAGTGCCTGTGGAGTGGCAGACCTGGGTGGTGGTTCCCATTTTTAAATTGGAGGAGCGGATCCAGGGGGAGCAATGCATTAGGTGTGGGAGTTTGCCCATCCAGCCTACATGTGTTTTGTTGACTTGGAGAACCTTGCAACCATGTCCCCCAGTGAGTCTTTTGGGGGCTACTGGGAGAATATGGGGTACCAAAATCGTTGCTACAAGCCATTCTGTGTGTGTATGACCAGACAAACATGTCTCCAGTGGACGTTGGCCTCCGCCAGGGTTGTCCCTTGTGATCGATTCTGTTAGGGATTTTCATGAACAGGATCAAAATGTGTGTGGAAGGTGAGTGTCCAATTTGGGGACTTCTCTTCTGCTCTTTGCAGATGACGTGGTTCTGTTGGCTCCATCAGGCGGTGACCTTCAGCACGCATTGGGGCAGTTTGCAGCCAAATGTGAAACGGTCAGGATGTGAATAAGAAAACGGTGGACTGCGCCCAACGTTGACCAGTGAGTCAACTCAGGGAGTTGAAGTGTCTTGTCTTGTTTACCAGTGAAGGTAAAATGGACCAGGAAGTAGACAGGCGGCACAGTGCGAAATAAGCTACCTTGGGGTGGCTGGGCTTAAGGATAGGGTGAGTAGGTCTTGCTACTTTGCGTCAGCTGAGGTGGCATCTGATCAGGATGCACTCATGGACGCCTCTCTTTAGAGGTTTTCTGGGCACATCCAACTGGTAAGAGGCCCAGGGGTAGACCCAGAACACTGCTGGAGAGATTGATATCTTGCCTGGGAACACTTTGGAGTCCCCCAGGAAGAGCTGGAAAACGTTGCTGGGGAGAGGGACCACTGGAAAGAAGATAATGGATGGATGGTTCACTTATAGCTAAATTTACACAAGAACATGTCCTTTTACAAGGAGCATGTTTACAACAGCTTGAATCCATTTTTTCCCGTTTTAAATAGTCTTCATTTACCCATAATATTGTACGTGAAAAGTTAAAAACAGTCAAGAAGTAGGCAGCTTTGTAAACATACCAGCAGAGTGGCCCATCGTCCTTCAGCCAGAGAGTTATTGTTTGTTTAAAAGCAGCTATTTCCCCAAGTCTTTTACTTTGCTGCCGACTTCCCTTCACTTAATTATCCCTTGAAGGAAACACATTTTGCAGCAGATAACATAAAATGAATACATAAAAGCCACAACATATCAAAGGCAAAGCAGACAAGGACTCAGAGGAAGGGACAACACTGATATGTAAGACAGCAATTATCAACCATGAAAACTGAGAAACGTTATAGTTTGTGGTTTAAAATATTTCTGTTGCTGGTTATTCTAGGCAGTTTGTGTAGGAGAAGAGAAAACATGAGCCATACGAAATCTGTTAATGTTCAATGTCAGACCAATATGAGATACAGAAGGCACAGGAAGGTTGTGGTGTTGATAACTATGTGCATGAAGCATGATTACAGTCAAACACCTGCAAGTGTGACAGTGACTGTTCAGCCAGACTGAGCGAGACAAAAAGGGGTCAGTATGTATCAAACAGAGCGCTTGTCCGATCGTTGAATACCGTCTGAAAGAAGGTGAAAGAAGGCCCTCAAACCTTTTAGACGACAAATTAGTGGGGCCATTAAACGACAATCTGACAAGCATGCCCCATTCACACAGCGGCCCGTCAGGTTTACGGAGGGAAGACAGTAAGCACAGTTTGAACTTCCCTCTCAAGTTGTCTTGTTTTTAATTCTTCACACAAATACTTTGGCACCAGCTCCAGTATTGCCTTTTTAGAAAGACTTTCTGAGTGATCGAACAGCTTCAGTTTGTCATACAAACTACTTTCGAATAGTTTGTCATACAAACTACTTTATTTAAAGAATAGCCCAACATTGAAGACCCAGTGAAACAGGAGTTTGGGCATCTTTAGCGGCTGTAACGTGACATTTTAACAAATACTATTCAAACCGAATATGTAGCCAGTAGTATAGTTATAAAACGGATTTAAATCAAATCCTCAATGTTGTTATGCGATATGGAGTTGTAGGACTGTTAACCTCCACCCAGCCCTCTTTACCCGTGTTGTTAAATCAAAAATAAGAGAATAAAGGTAAAATAATGAATTAGATTGCAGCCACATTCTTTGGACATGGGGTGACTGTGGCTAAGTGGAGAGCTGAAACCACTTACTATGATTTTTCTGTGCTAGCTAGACACCAGTTAACAGTCAAATGTGGTTTTCTATGATAGGTGGGGTTAGCTAGTTGCCCCACATCAAATTTGACTGGATACATCAATGTTACATCAAGAGATAAATGAACAATTAACACAGAAACACTGGATTAGAAATTTCACTGTGTCTTTAACAGCTAACTGGAAATATTTGCCCGTCTGTCAGGAGGACGCATTGATCACGGACACCACGAGGGCAAGGCCAAGCAGGCTCTTCATGAAACTGTGGAAATGGACAGGGCCATCGGTCTGGCAGGCCTCCTGACCAACGTCCATGACACACTGACAATAGTTACTGCTGATCATTCTCATGTGTTCAACTTCGGGGGCTACACAGTCAGAGGAAACACAATATTTGGTACGTAAAGGATGTGCATTCAGTACTGTGTGTATCGTTGTCGTACCACATGCTTAGTGCTGTAAGTTACATTTTCAGGTCTGGTTCTGTTATGATGGGGCTCAATGCGTCCACAGGTCTGGCCCCAAAGCTGAGTGACGTTGACCAGAAGCCCTTCACCTCCATCATATATGGGAACGGACCAGGTTACAAACATGTTAACGGCGCCAGGGAGAATGTCTCCACTGTTGACTACCGTGAGTAATATCAATGAGGACAGATTACCATAATGATTCCCCAAAAATAACTTTATAATGGTAGATATTGTAATATCACAAGTTATTTTAGTCAGACAAGGATGAATCTATTGCAGAGGAGGAGACATTTCTAGTTTTAGTAAACATAACTTAGTGAGGGGATTGCTCTGTCTTGACACAAAAGGACTTGTGACACAAATTACTCTCAGATTAATGCTGCATAACTAAAATTAAAAGGTGCCCTGTGGAATTTTCTTATGAATCAACAAAAGTTATATTTACGTTCAGTGTTACTCACCAAAATGTATTTTCGCCTGTGTTTTCTGGACTTCTAACAAATGTGTTGAATGCATTTCCTTCCCCATAAGACATTTGAAAAGCCAACTTTTTTTTTTTACATCCATGTTTACTATTGGTCTTCTTCTTCCATGCTTTGTTGCACAGCCATGTGCATTACTTGGCCAGTTACCGCCACCTGTAGATCAGTAAAATCGTGTGAAACCATTGGCAGGACTGTGTATCTCATCACCTCCACAGGGAACTGTTAATTAACTTTGTGGTGGACTTTTTCCCCTCCATGCTTCAGGAATTAAAAACAACCTTTTCTCTTTGCCCCCTGCCTCTCAGAGGAAAACAACTACCAGGCCCAGGCAGCTGTACCTCTGAGCATGGAGACTCATGGAGGAGAAGATGTGGCTGTGTTTGCTAAAGGCCCCCTGGCTCACCTGCTGCATGGGGTCCACGAGCAGAACTACATCCCCCACGTGATGGCGTACGCAGCCTGTATCGGCCAGAACAGGGATCACTGTTTCTCACTCAGCGGGTCTGCCGGTTTACGCCCCGTCCTCTCCAGCATGGCAGCCCTTCTCACAGTCACCCGAATTCTGTGCTAACCTCCCCCTGATAGTCTATTAATAACACTATATACATTTTAAGATTTCAACTTGTTGTTGTTTTTTTGTATTTTCTAATTGTACTCGAAGCTATCTTGATCATAGGACCACTGTTTCTGTTTTTGTTATGAAAATGAATTGAGAAAAGCATAGGGATGTCGGTTTTAGGCAGTTCAGGCAAATATGTAAAAAGACACAAAATAATTGATCCCCCTTGATGCACTGAAATGAAAAGTGGTGTTGCAGAGATCACTACAAAATCAGAGATCTCAGTTGTGATTTGTCTATTGAATAATTTGTTTTTGTTCAGGGTTTTATGAACCAATTAAGTCTCCTTGTAAAATGTAAACTCTTTAGGTTAGATTGAATTTGCAAATATTGAATATGTTTAATATTTTAAATGTGCAGATAACATAATCTACCTCATAAACCTGCAAAAGATCTCTCATGTAATGATGGTGCGTTCAAAAAGGGCACAATTCGATGGACAAAATGTATGCCGGAACCAGAGGCAAGAGTAAAAAGGAATATATTTCTTGTCATACATCGTGTGCATACAGAGAAAGCCCACCTACCATTGTTGTGTCCAATAACAGAAGTTGTAAAACCTCTTAACCAATAAAATAAATGTGTTCTGATCATCTTTTGTTGCAACATTATTGGTTTTAAACTTCTCCTAAACATTGTTAAACACCTAAAGTCCAGTTTGATTAAGATTAGTGTGAACACTCTACCTGGGTACGGTTCATCAATCTGTGCCCAGCTCTACTTAAGATAATCCTTTATTAGTCCCACAGCGGGGACATTTCAGACATCAGTAAAAAACAAAAACAAGAAAATATAAACAAATCTTGAAATGTTAAGTCCCTTTTTAATTCGAGTATGGTAGAGTTGCAAAGTCATTTCTTAATGCCAGTCCCCGAAGAGTAGTTTTTAATCTCTTTCGACTATTTTTACAGAGCAAAATGTAACAATAAGAATTGGGTTTAAGAAGGAATGATGCTTTCTGACACTAGACCAAAAATATGCTGATTGCTGAAAAGAAGTGGTTTTGTACAGACATTACTTCAATGACACAGTTTTGTGGTTTTTCCCACATGTAAAACTTCACAGGGATTTACAATTCGTCACACAGCAGAAATACCTCAGTGAACGTCCTTCTTTCAGAGTGTCACATATGTTGTATGCTGTACTTTTCCATCTGCTCTATTGTGTGGAATGTGAATGGACTTAAGCCACTCATTCCTTGGCTTCATGGGGTCACTGCGAAAACAGAGAAGGACTCATGTTGGTTGAAGCATGAACAGGGGAGGTTCAGTGTAAAACGGGGATGAAATGAGGTCCTTATGCTGTCGGTTGTACACTCTCAATATCTCCATGGAATCTACTCAGCCCCTCGGGGGCCACTTCATGCTTTTATTTTGCCTTGCTTTGCTGATTTGGATTTTTCTTCTATTCCTCTTGGCAGCTTAAAATCTTTGTCCCGTAATCCTGATTTATCTCTTGTATTCTAAATTTAGAGATAGACGACGATGGGTATCAGATTGTAGGGCATGCATATTCAATTGGGCTTTCAACCCCCAACTTCCTCTAGCTTTCAGATATATTTGTGCATGGCTCGCAGTGCTTCTTATGTTTCCTGGATAATGAAACCTTTCATTTTCTAAAACGAAACCAGGCCAAAGACTTGTACTGTATGTATGGTACTTTAAAGTGGTCGCCTTGCCAAAAGCTTTGCCATTCAATCTATCCATCAACGACAAGACAAGGGGCTACGATGAACAATAGCTGAAGTCTCCCTCTTCTGTTCACGTCTACATAAATGCTCGAGGGGGCCTCACCAGACGTGCAATTTTCTGAGGCAAGCCATAGTGTCATATCACAAAGCCATGTGTAAGGCTGCATACTACCGTCTCCCCATATGGGATCTTGTCCTTTTATCCTGCCAGCATGTACGATGTTTTGTGTTTTAACAGTTAGAGTGGACTTTTCCGACCATTCCACGCAGTCATTAACCTGGTTTCAGACGTCTGAATCACTGCCCATGTCTGATTCAAAAGGCCTGCTGTTGTGTCAAATAATGTCTGTTTATCTTAATTAGAGAGACAACTGCACCAATCAGCTACAGCCAACAAAAACTAGTCACAGCGTGGACGAGATTGCGGCAGCTGGACAAGCTTTTGTAAGTCGATTTGCAGGAATGACATCGCTTAAAGTCCCTGCACACACACAGTTGTTTTCATCCGTGTTGGCTGATTAGACGCCTGCTGAGGTTGAAGGTGGGACGTCATCGGACTCCATTTACCAATAATGACAATACAGGTGTAATTTGTCTCGCCTCGCAGGGCGAGGACAGAGAGAAAATAGAGGGAAAGTCCTGAGAAGATGTCGACTGATAATACGTTTTCAGGACGGAGACATCACCCTCTATGGTAGGGCAAAGCAAATAAAACAACGTCCACTCCCAACAAGAAATCAGTATTAATATTAAAGAGTAGGATTTTCCTAAAAAACTATGAATAGACTCATACAAAAATAATCCCTCTGAATCATCACTTGTGACCCACTAAGTGTGTTGTGCTCTCTGTAACTTTGAAAGTTGTGTTCACAAACAACCAACAAATCCTACTCTTTCTGCCTTGATGTTGGGCCAAATGAATAAAGTGATAAGAAAATGACAATTTAGGCTGGGCAGTCAATGACAATGAATTGGTTGCAAAACCTGCCTGAGTTGTGTAATTCATCACAGTTAGCATGAAGTCTACATTAACCGTTTTACATTAAATATTGTAGCGAGATGATGAAACTGTATTATAAAGCAGGCGGAAGTTGTAATATGATACTGTAATGTAACACTGGAGAAAAGTAAGTTTCATACCGTACGCACATACGATTTTTTAAGACGACTTTTTAGACAATTTGTGCTTTTCATTGATAGTGTAGAGAGACAGGAAGTGTGGGGACAAGGGGAATGAATGACCTGCAGCAAACGGTCCAGCGTTTAGCATTTTTGTATAGCAGCTTGAACAAATTGATGTATAACATATGATGCTGTCATATGGGAGTACGGTTGGAGTTTTCTAACCTTAAAGTTTAAGGGGAAAAATGGGGAAAGCTAATGTAATCTAAGTTATATTTTATCCAACAGATTATTTTTATGAACATGAAACTAATAAATAACCTTTTCAGAACTTGCTATAGATGATAGTATATGTAAAAGTAGAAGTTCTTGTAGCGATAAGAGCTTTCACAGTCAGCCTGATGGAATGGAAAAAAAACCTTCAGCTGTCCTGCTGTGGATATAGATCTTGATCGACCCTGAAAAGTTGCCATGAAAGCGTCATCGCCCTGACACCACAGACATCAAGTCGCTCATCAAACACGCCTCCTCAACCTCTCCCAGCAGCGTGCTGTGACAGCTCGATGCTTTCCATTTCACGTCCTCTTCTTCGCCATCTCTCTCTCTCCCACTTTGATTTGGTCACTTTTAGTGTCATGATGTCTCATATCAATCAATCTCTCTATTTATATCAAGGACCCTTGCTTCAATCTGTGTCATGATCTCCAGCTCTTTGATTCGCTGTGGGCATGGTTGAATAACGAGGGGGAGAAGCGTGTTGGAATTCAGAGCCTCAGACAGATCAAACTAAGAAAGCAAGGCAAGGCTGACAGCTACGGGGGCTGCTGTATAAAAGGAGCAGTGAGGCTGCAAGAAGATGCTAATTCTCCCCCTTTCAATGCAGACATCGTTCTCTGGAATGGAGTCGATGACCCTCGTCCTTTGGGTAATCTAGTTCAGCTGAGTGCATTAAATAAAACACACAATAATCCACAACCTGATTTGCTCTGCAAAATAATTAGAAATGCAAAAAAGAACGATTATTATTCATTATATGACTGGGAATGAACCTCATTTTGATACATTTGGATCAAATGTTTGGAATTTGAAAGGATTTGTACTACTAGCTATTGCATCTTTGAATGCTATATGCTGAATACTTGCTGCACATTTCTGGACCTGTTTATGATCTCATAGTCTCTTATCGTTTCCTACTGTGAAGAGGTGAACGTGTCTGTAATCGCCTTTTGTCTGCACACCCTCCCCAGCTCCCATCACCCCTCTGTAGGCAGCCAGCATGAGGGCTAATCCCTCTGCGGCTAATGAAGGAAAAGAAAAGAAAATCAGGCCCGAGCCCTGGCTTCTGCACATTCTCTGTTTCGCCAATCATCCTCCGCACAGCCTCGCAGTCATGACTGCAAGAATCTTAAATGCCCCTCAAAATGTGCTGAGACTGAGAACTGCTGGGGAAGAGTGAACTTGAGAGTGAGACCAGCTGTAGTGGACAATTTTATGGGTGGAAAATTTAGCAATAAAGTCAGGGAGGGATGTGCAAGGCAAATCTGCATATTAACTAGACTCACATAAAACCTTTTAACCTTACACAATAGATCCCACACTATCCACAAAGGTTTGAATTGTTTCAAAGTAACGACATAACCCATAAAGACCATCATTAACAATTAGAGACACGAGTGTTTTAGGGTGACGGCTGGTTGATCTGATATTGGGGGCACTTAGTGAATCTCAATTCTTTGGTTTGTTGGCATGCTGGGAAATAAATAATCTAGCAGGTCGATCTGAAAAATGTTGTCAGTGACTTCTCCGTGTTGTCTCTGTGTCAGCCAAACTCCTTTCACTCGCTGCGCTCACCAACTGTTGATAAGGTAACACTGTTATCTCTTATCGCACGGTCACATACGCATAGTAAGTCTCCTATTAACTGTCAACGGAGCAGCTTCAGAGAGAGTTGATTGATGGCATCGCAGATTGCTGAAATGGACTTCTGCATGTAGGTAAACATCTGGAGTAAAGAAAAGCATGTCCTCTGCTTTTACATCTTCCTTGACACGCGAGAGCAGCAGTAGATTTCAGGTTGTTTAGGCTTTGGATCTGAGTGGTTGTGCATATGGAGTTAACCTTGGTGAATATGGAGTTTCTTCTTCACCAGCAAATGTTATAGTGCGATAAAAATTCAGGCCTGCCAAATAATGTATCCCCTCTCTGCCCTACCATCAAGTATTTTATTTTGTACTTCAGATCGCACCATTATGACGGTAGGGCAGGGCAGCATATGTGCATTATAGATAAGGGATACAACTTTTGGTAAATAAAAAATTCAGTTTGAAATCCCACTATATCTACGCTGGGAAAGTAAAACATTCTTCGTGTCCACCACATTTATTGCAAAGATGATATGCCCCACTACTTGATAGAAGGGCTGACGCTGTTCATGACTGAGAGGGGAGGTCTGAAAGAATGTGTGTATAACTTTTGCTTGGGAAGAAGAAACTTCTACATATTCGCCAAGGTTATTAGGCACGTTCTGAAGTGTACACAATCTATAATACTTGATGGTGGGGGGGGGGGGGGGGGGGGGGGAAACTGTGCATTATGGATGTTTACGTGGCCTTCGTCAGCTCCTTTGGTTTATCTGCAAGTTCTCCAGAAAGAAGTTTCCTATGCAGTTAGCTGCAATAGTAAATCCCATTTAGTCACATCTCTGTTCGCTTTTTCTCATTCTGTTCTGTGTTTACTTTTTAGAATGAATTTGAAAAGTTTAGGGGGCTTGCGCTGCTTGCCCC